ACCATGGATGGGAAGAATTAGTCTTGTGAAGGTATCGTTCTCTGAAATATACAGATATGGAGGTGATATGTAAAGAGCGAAGACGTGCTTTATTTTATATCTTTTTTCTTTTCTACATTTCTGGCCTCTTCTTCGTCTTCTCTTTCTATTGTCCTACCTTCTTCTTCTTATATTCCTGAGCCCCAAAACTGTGCCTTCGATGAAAATATTAAGTTAGGATTATCAGTATAGGAGCTGGGATAGCGTAGTCGGTATAGCGACTGGCTACGGGCTGCACGACCGAACGGTCGGAGTTTGAGTCCCGGTAATGTTAAGAATTTTCTTTTCTCCACGTCGTCCAGACCGGTTCTGGGGTCCACCCTATCCTCCTATCACCACCAGCTAGTGCCGAGGTCAAGGAAATGTGAATCTATACATCCACTCGCCCATACGCCTTCATGGTGTTGTGCTTAATTAGTTAAGGACAGGGATTTTACTTTACCTTACATTATAATTATTAACATAACTAGTTATACAAAATGCAAATCTTAATTTTGAAGGCGTCCGTGCTAAGAGTGGATGATCACTGTAATGCTTATTTGTGATAGCCATAGTTATAAATTGACCGCCTCTGTGGTCTAGTGGTCAGAGTTTCTGGCTACAGATCCAGAGATTCTGGTTCGATTCCCGGCGCTACCAGATTTTCTGAGAAGTAGTGGGTCTGGAACGGGGTCCACTCAGCCTCGTGGAGATAATTGAGGAGCTATCTCAAGGAAATAGCGGCTCTGGTCTAGAAAACCGAGATTACCGGCCGTGGGGATCCATTGCGCTGACCACGCGACACCCTCTATCCGCTAAAGTTGGCAATAAACTTCGCCGACAAGCGGCGGTCGCTCGGTCGGTATAGTTCGCTTGAGGACTAAAATCACTGAGGTTTTTTTTTATAGTTATAAATTGGAATTGTAGAATTTCCTGTTGCATTTTCAACAGATATTTCACAAGTAATCAACAATGGCCTTTCTAAAAGAGGTGTTTGTCCCTTGCAGTGCTATTCTACAGCAGCAGTCTCTACATGGTCTGCATTGCTACGATCGTGTCAGTAGCAGTGGTAAACCTGGCACGTAACCAACACGTCACACCGTTACCATGGATACTGAAGAACTTTCTCACTGGGTGGCTGGGTCAGGTCCTATGTTTGGGCAACATCATAGATCAGGTACAGTAACGGACGCCGGCAGAAGGGGAAGGGGCAAACCGGGCTTCTTCCCCGCCTGAATTTCGAGACAAAAACCAAAACTGAGAAAAGAACAAAATACTCCAAATATCAATAATAAAATAGAGCTATCCCTGTAACAGGCGGTGGACGCCCATAAGGTTGTGATACATCGAGACATCCAGATTTTCTAGACAATCAGCTCATAGATGGCGGTGAGGTTGTCAGCCTTACGAGCCAAGCTGTCCCTGTAACAGACCGTGGAGGACCATAGGGTTGGGAGACGTCCCGGCTCCCACGTTTTCTAAACAATCAGCTCAAAGATGGAGGTGAGATTGTCAGCCTCATGCGGCGACCGCCTTTTACTCGAAGGAAGATTCGTGGTGCTCATTTCTGTTAGAGACTGAGTCGATCCAATAGCAACAATGCGGCTGGAAGTGTTAGAGAAATTAAAATAAAAAACAAAATTATTTTGGAGAAATAATCCTGAAGCAAAGGGGGAGGGGGGGCCTGTAACATAATTTTGAAAGCAAAATTTCTAGATTTTCCCTCTCCCCGGCTTCGCCAATGGAAGCAGAGCATACAATTAGTTAGAGACCGCTAAAGCTTTAAAATAGTAAATAGTTTATTCTCTAATATTTTCTGAATGTCTGTCTACGATTTCTTGGTTTGCACCGTGAAGGGCTCGTACCGAAAGGATCAAACTAAACATTTCCACTTCATAACTGTAGAAAATTTAATATTTTAACGTAAATTTACTTCAAGATAAAGTTATACCTGAGCTTAGGCCGCGCCATAGCTCAAGCGGTTAGTCGCTGGCTTCCTGGGTTCGATCCCGGGTCTGGTCAAGTGGGATTTGTGGTGGACAAAGTGGCGCTGGGGCAGGTTTTCTCCGAGTATTTCGGTTTCCCCTGCCAATCTTCATTCCGCCAATTGCTCCACAATCACCCTCGCCTATCATCTGGGGCTGGTACAATAGGCCAGAAGTGGCCGCAGTACAAGGGACTTAGTCCCACCCCACTAGCAATAAAAAAAATATACCTGAGCTTTAATTGATTAAGCAGCAAGCCATGAATACGTGTGGAGAAGTGCAGGCATAGCGCCACCATTCTTAACTTTCACTCCAAATGGAGAGAGTGGTCAGCTTCAAGCATCGTTCGCTTTATCCCCGGGGGAAAGAACCGCCGTTATTCATTGGATAGGAGGCTTGGTGGGCCCCTGAGCCGGTTTCGATGCTGTGGAGAAGAGAAAATTCTCTTGCCTCTTCCTCGGCCGTCCAGCCCATACCATAGTCATTACACTTACTTATCTCTCCCGGCTCCAGTAGTATATTACTTACTTACTCATGGAGCTGAGCCCTTCTTGAGGAGAAGCCAAATCTGCAGCTACTCAAGAATTTCCCAGCATTTTATGGAACCCGAAGGTTAATTACCGTGTTCACAAGTGCCCTTCACTGGTCCCTATCCTGAGCCAGATCAATCCAATCCAACCCATCTCTCTAAGATCCATTTTAATATTGTCCACCCTCCTAGGCCTTGGTCTTCCCAGTGGTCTTTTTCCTTCTGGCTTTCCCACCAATATCCTATATGCATTCCTCTTCTCCCCCATTTGTGCTACATTCACTGCCCACCTCATCCTCCTTGATTTGATCATTCTAATTATACTTGGAGAAGAGTACAAGCTATGAAGCTCCTCATTATACAGTTTTCTCCAACCTCATGTCACTTCATTCCTCTTCGGTCTAAATATTTTCCTCAACACCCTGTACTCAAGCACCCTCAGTCTATATTGCTCCCTTAATTCTAGTAATTTATTAAAATCTATAAATCTGTTTCAATTTATTTTAACGGTAAAAATTGTCAAACGTAACTCAGATTGTGTGGCTATGTTGAGAGAGAGAATTTTTGTAGAGAAACACGTGTGAATTGCTAGGCTGTGAGGCCGAGAATAAACTGGAGAAAGTGAGATTTGCTGAGCATGCTCAGTTCTACGCAGCAGCACCCCTTTATAAGCACTCAGAAGCCGAGCCGTCTGGAGGGCTTGCGCCGATATTTCAGCGAAAGTTTTAATTTGCGCGAGGCACGAAACGCAACAATGTAATTCTGGTCCGACATCGACAGGAAGTGCGAGATAGCAGCCGAACACACTTCCTCTATTCTACATTGCACGCACGATAACACGCACTGTATATGCGCTTCAAGATATCTTGAATGCGTGTTGCATTAATAAACTATCGCAATTTCCTTGTGTGGCGAGGCCGTACATTTGCTCTATTCGGTTTTCCAAATAGTTAATTATTGATGATAATACTACAGAAAAGTTCTGGGAAGAACTAACTGCCTACTTTCCTTAGATATGGCAAAGACCGCATAGAAAACAATGCCTCCAACAATTTTTCGTTGCCGCGGGAACGTGTTTACCGAGCCACTGCCTTGCAACGTTAGGGGGATACACAGATCCATAGACTGTCCTTTGATAAGACTCGGACGGAAAAAAGATGGGTACAAGAATTCTTCCTAGTTTCGTGTGTTCGTTGCCGCGGGAAAGTGTATACCGAGCCGTTGCCTAGCAACGAAAATGGGGATAAATATACAGACACACAGTTTGATAAGAAGAACTTATGAATTACATCTCTGAGATGAGCTCAGGTACCATGATATACAAACCAAGATTCAGATATTCAAAAGCTGATTTGGGGGGGTTACACAGAGAGGATTGAAATCGCATAAGCATACTTTTTCAAAATGAGCAAAGTAGGTTCAAAACGTATCTAACTATAGAAGAGCATGAAGAGGCAGATCATGTTTATCTGGTTTAGGATAGGGACCAGCAATGGGCTTTTGTGAAAGTGATAATGAGCCTTCGGTTCCATAAAAAGCCGGACATTTCTTGCCCAGCTGAGAGACTGTTAGCTTCTCAACAAGAGGTCTGCTGCAAGGAGACAGTTCGTTAACTATTCGTGATACCTGCCTCAAACAGTTTATAACTCAGACACAAATAATTTTATTTATATGCTTAGCATTCGGCAAAGCAATCCCGCATTTCTTACATCATAAGGACCCTGTCTGTAAGGAAGAGTGTGTGTCTCTTTGTTTTTCATACATTTCCACGCCGTGGTATATCTTTTGGCTATTCGGCATGACGATAGAGGACCTATTTGGAGAGGTTTTAGACATTTGAACCTCAGCCAAGTTTCGGAAACACCTAAGAACATTTTCTCATATTCCTCATGAACCGTTCACCCGTTGAGGCTTCTTGCTTACGATATAGCTTAGAAAAAACAACAACAACAACAAAAAGAATCCTCTCCTACGCTGTATGTGTATGTGATATTTACTCTTCAATTTTACACAAATAAAAGGAATTTAAAAAAATCGCAAATATGGGAGGATTTACGTCTCAAATAGATTATTCAATTTCCTTAAAATTGCATTGCATTATATCAATATCACGGAAGCCTGGACAGCTCAGTCGGTATAGCGACTGGCTATGTGCTAAAAGACCGAGGGGTCAGAGTTCGAGTCCCGGTAGTCAAGATTTTTTCCTTCTCCGCGTCGTGCAGACCGGCTCTGGGGTCCACCCAACCTCCTATCCAATGGGTACAGGGGGGATCTCTCCCAGGGGCGTGAAGTTGACCATCCACCTCCAGATAGTGCCGAGGTCAAGAAAATGCGGATCTAGTCACCCATTCCCTTCATACGCGTCCATGGCGTAGTGCTTAATTAGTTAAGCACAGGGACAGCTAAACCTTTTTTTACCTTCATATCAATGTTATTGATATTAATATAATAACTTTTCAATGTATCACTCTTCATAAACATATATATATATATGTGTTACCGCGGCAAGAACCCGGGCAGAAAATCTAATTAAGGACATTAAGACCTGTGCTTCACAGAGCACCTGAAATCACCAATGGCTTTTTTACCTAGAATATACACTTCAATATTCTCTTCTCAACCGGGCAGATTATTCCATCAGTAAGCGATTCTGGGATTCCCCTATTCACAACCTTCGGATATCCAATGTCATTTCAATGGGGTAAAGCGGTCAGAACGCAAACATTTCATTTAGCTCCACTTACTGCCGAAGTTAATACGTGGGAGTCTATCTTCTCCGTGTCTTCGTGGTAAAGCTATATCTGTAACAGGCCATGGAGGCCCATAGGGTTGTGAGACGTTGACAATCGGCTCAAAGATGGCGGTAAGGTTGTCAGCCTTACGAGCCGGCCGCCATTTACCCCTCAGGAAAATTATTTAGTTAATTCCTGGTACTCATTTCTGTTAGAGGTTGAGTCGACCCCATGGCCATAGTGCGGCTGGAAGGATTAGGTGAATTGAAAAAAAAAAAAAATCCAATGACTTCATCGGGACTTGAACCCGCGACCTTCCGGCTTGTAACATAATTTATTTTTTCCGTCCATACGTGGGCCAAAAATAGCTCTTCGGCCAGTTACTGGGCTTAATGCTGGACGATCGGGCTTCGACTACAGGTGTAGACAATTACTCCTCTATGAAACCACGACCAAACTATGAAGCCCATCTAATCTACAGCGTTCAGGGCGTAAAGTTGACATATTACCATTAATGACCTTGGTGAGCCAAAGTTTGTTGTTGCAGGCGGCGTCAATGAGTCACAACATGATGTCTGGAAACGTCGAGGAGCTGAGAGAGCATCAGACGGTGGGATTTGACGATCCTGATCATACGGGTAACAGCAGTGACGATCGGCAGATGATCACATCACGATCTAGAGCTAACTCTCAGCATGATTGGGTTTTGCTGGCAGCGGCCATAGACAGGATCTGCTTCCTCATCTACTGCCTCGTCTTTACCATCCTCGCCACTGTATACGCAGTCTAACCAATGGAAATTGGTGTCACAAGAGCCACATGCCAAGAAGACATTTTGTTGTGAAGTTGGCAACATCAAACACTGCTTCTTTCAGCTGTTTTGTCAATATCTCTATTTAGGTACCATAAATCTATTCCTAAGTATCCTCGACGGAAGTTAAATCTTGTTATAACTACGCATTCTCTTTATCCACATGTTCGCTGATGCTGGTAACAGTAAGTTCATTCCGACAGCCTGTAGTGGCCATGGTATGACGTCAAGCTACGATAATAAAGCAAAATGGACGCTGCTGAAGTCCTGGATTCAGCCAGAAAAGTTTCTTGCAGGCTCAAGTTAAAGACGATCTTTTTGACGAAGAAAAATTATTTTCTTTTTTTGGTCCTTTAATGACGCTGTCTGCATCTAAACTATGCAGTGTTGAGTAGTAGGAAAACTGATGAATTGGAAAGGGGTTGGAAGAAAGCAGTCGTGGCCTGAGGTAATATCTTGGCTGGAGGAACTGAGGAAAACCAAAAGAGACCTCACTTTCCCGGCTCAGATTCGAAGGCAGTACCTTCCCCCCAAAAAACTACAGCGATACCTCAAAATCAACCTGTTCTATTTTGTATTCAAGACAGAATAACATTAAAAAATTGGTACCAATATTTGGTATATGTCATTCTTTTTTCAATTTTGACTTTTCCAAAAAAAAATCCAGTTGGGGGAAGTCGGCAGACGCTTGGCTTACCCCCTCCGACTCCTGGCACTACATAAGAGCGAACATAATCACGGGATAAAATTAATGTGGAGAAAGTGAGTCAAAACAAAGGCAGCAAAATGTATCTCTACAGAAAGGAGCAAAAAAGATACTAGAATTTTCTTCGTAGTTTTATGAAGTATCTCCATGAAAACATTACACCAGCTCCTATGACAAAGCTGTAGTTAGTTAGTTAGTTATTGGAGAGGGTGGGTTTCCCCATGCACTTAGACCAGTATTGGTCCATTGTGCTTCCCTCTATGATATTCTACCAGTCCCTATACCCTACCGATATTGGTGCGTACCATCAGTCCCGACCGAGCCAGCGTTGACAAAGCTGTAACTCTAACCGCAACGGATTATCAGGTCCAGCAGGTGTAATAATCGCATATTATTAAAAGTGACGTAAAATCAGGCTGCAATAATGGCCATCTTGTTATGTGTCAACAAAATGGTGACCCTATTTCGAGAGAACTTTCGGTGACGAGGAAAAATTTTAGTTACCTAAGCAAATGGTCCTTTGAAAGCTGCGCAGGAAGTGTCACCACGTGGAACTGGCGTTATCGCGCTGGACTAGGAACGGGTAACCCTTCTCAGCGATATGGAACGACCTTGTAATTATGTACTTCATCAAGTAATAATACTTTCTCGTAAAAGTCTGCTTGTTATCTTATGTATTCGCACCGAATAGTTAGAAATATAGCTACCCTCAGAAAGACAGCTAAAAAAAAAACAATCTTATATAACCTTTCATGCTGAAGCACTCAACAAAAAAGAATGAAATCGTTTTGATTTTTATTTATATTAAGTCGTCAGTTATTCTGAATAGCGACATAAGTCATCAAACTTAAGAAGCCACCTGTCAAACGAAATGAGTAAAAAACTAGGAACATCATTTTAAAAATCGTCCATTCGCTCGTTATAGGAATAGAAAGAGCGAAAGAAACGTCTTCCTTTCCAAAATGGGGTTCACCCAGCCTTCCTTCAAATAAGTTTCCCTTTCCCAGGTCGCAAAGCGACAGGGGCGTGAATCTGACAACTCACCTCCATGTGGGGCTGAGGTTAAGAATGGTCGCGCTATACTTTCACTCCCCTTATACGTATTCATTTCGTAGTGTTTAATTAATCAGACATAGAGATAATTTTATCTACATGTTTTTAAACCACAATAATTTCCCTCTTCCCCCTACATCTGATGGAGAACCAGTTTACGAAAGAAGGTGGTTTGGAAAAACTATATAAAAAAAGACAAGTCCGAAATAATAATCCTAGTTACCATTACAAAACATCTTCAGAAAATTTTATACTGAGCTGAAATAAATGCAGTTTGCATTGTTCTAAAAACCATATATCGTTCTATCTATGGCTCTGCAACATTTTTTCGGCCTTGGCCATTTTTTTAGTTTCTCTTTCTTTTACACAGTAGGTAGGACTCCTTTGGCGGGGATCAGCTCTTCGCAAGGCCGCTACCTACACACAGGACATCACAAACACAGAATAAACGCACACAGACATCCATGTCTCAAGTTGGATTCGAATCCACGATCCCAGTGTTTGAGCGGGCGAAAACAGCTCACTTCTTAGACCACGCGGCCACTGTGATCGGCTCCCAAAACCATATACAGCCTCCAAACTCAAGCACTCTTTAGAAAAGTGGAAAAGAAGCAATCGATCCGTACAATAACAAGGAATCAGCCAAATCCTGAACCGCGATATATTATTCCAGTTTTTAGTAAACTTAACAAGCTTTAGAGAAGGCAGCTGACAATGCGTACTGAATTATGGAGTACACAGTTGCGAGTTTCGTCACACAAGCGACGATCCAACTGAGTAATCCACCTTACTGCGTAGAGTGAGAGGATAGCAGATGTTTCTGGCAAGTCCGCCCACCGATCATATTCGGTTCCATTTCCTTTCGAACCTTCAGCTGTTCACAATCGCATCGCACGGAAATGGCCGCTTTGTCCACTGTTCTCATCATCTGTGTCCTTTCCGGTAAGTAGAGTTTACACTGTTTCTGCAAAGTTATGTTCTCACAGAAATAACAGCATACGCCGAAAAGTTGGGCAAGAATTGACAGTTAATATAATAAAAGCAATGACCAATTCTGGTTTACAGCTAGTAACACTAAGCCGATTACAGCGACCGCGCGCTCAAACACTTGGATCGTGGGTTCGAATCCCACTCAAGGCATGGAGTGTGTGTGCGTTTGTTCTGTGTGTAGGTAGCGGCCTTGAGATGGGGTGATCCCCTTTCCAAGGGTCATACGGGCTGTGAGAAAGAACAAGAAACTGAAATGCGACCAAGTTCCAACAAAAGGGCTGTAGAGCCATAGATAGATAGGCAGTCAGACAGATAGGTAGATAGATAGACAAACACACAGAGAGATAGACAGGTAGACAGCTAGACAGATAGATAGTAGGACTAAACCGTGTAGATAATGAGTTTCGTAGCTCTCTGATAATATAACAGGATTACAACTAACTCAGTGAAACCGAGTCCCACTTGAAAAGCTGATAGTCGTTCAACAGTTCGAGACATACACCGCTTTTTATGGAAGCCGAAAGACCATTACCGTGTTTATGAGTCCGCCACACGCTACCATCCTGGACCAGATGAAACCTCTCCACGCCTGTTATTTCTTTATGATCCATTCTAATATTATAACTACCTCTATTTCTCTCAATTGTTCTCTTCTCTCCAAGCTTTCTGACTAAAATTATGTATGATTTTCTCGTCCCTACTATGCCTGCTGCATTCCCAATCCATCAAATACATGTTTGTAAGGAAAAATTGTCCCTGTGCGTAATAAATTAAGCAGAACGCTATGAAGACGTATGGGGGAGTGGAGATATAGCTCCACAATTCTTGACCTGGCACTAATCGGAGGTTAGTCGTCAGCTTGACGTCTTGGCCGCTTTATTCGCGAGGAAACAGCCCCCCTCCCCTCACCCATTGGCTAGGGCCCCAGTGCCGGTCTGTACACTGTGAAGAAGAGAAAAATCTCTTGCCCCTGCAGGGTATTGAAAGCCGACCGTCCAGCCCACAGGTCGTCGCTATACCGACTGAGCTATCCTTTGCACTCTTCCTAATATAAAGGTGCTATTTACGAGATGGAGTACTTATTGCATGGCATTACAATATTCTAAGAACTTTGACCTGCCTCACGACAGATGTTAAATTTTCTCTACTATTCGCTTTTAGCCCCCGTTTCTTCAATTCGGCACTCTTAAATCATCCTCTGCATCTTCCACCCATGTCCATCTGGGTCTTCCGATTTTTCATGAACCTTCTGGATTATTTTCAAACGGTTTCTTCATCATCTCTTTTAACCACATGTCGCACTGGCTCTAATTTCTCCGTTAATATCCTCTACTAGATCAGAAAGTCTATACAATTTCCTCGGTTCTTGGTTAGTTCTGATTCTCCAAGTGCCTTGCTCACTTAGTGTTCTGTACACCTTCCTCAAAATTCTGTCCCTCCCACGCATTTCACATGAATTTATCATCAGTCACGTGTATCTTTTCATGTGCATGCATTAAAATAAGGGTTGAGATTTTGTATATTTACGTCTTGGTTTTCTCTTCACAGTTCTAGACTTAAAAATATGTTGCAAACCTTAAATGAAGGTAAATAATGGAGAAATTCTTAACAAAACAAAGTAAACCTCCATGCGGCTGAGTCCTTCTCGAGAAGCCGCCAGTTCCTCAAGAATTTAAAAAAAAATTACGGAACCCGAAGGATCATTACCGTGTTCGCAAGGACCCTCCAATTGTTCCTATCCTGAACCAGGTTAATCCAGTCCATAATACCCCATCCTATCTCTTTAAGATCCATTTTAATATTATCCTCCCAGCTATGTCTATGTCTTCATAGTGGTCTCTTTCCTTCTGGCTCTCCCACCAAAATCCTATACGTATCCCTCTTCGCCCCATGCGTGCTACATGCCCTGCCCATGTCGACCTTCTTGACTTGAACATTCTAATTATACTTGGCGAAAAGTAGAAGTTATGAAGCTCCTTACTATGCATTTTTCTCCAAACCTTCTATCACTTTACACCTCTACAGTCCAAATATTCTCCACAGCGTGTTCTCAGAAACCTCCCTTAATGCCTGAGACCAAGTTTCACACTCATAAAAACCACACAAAAAATACACTTTCTTATATTCTAATTTTTGCGTATTTAGACAGCAGACGAGAAGTGAAAAGGTTCTGGAGTGAATGGTAGCAAGCACTACCCGAATTCAATCCCCTCTTAATATCCTCTTGAACCAAATTTTTGTTACTGTAACCTAATATATTTAATTTATCGACTTTCATGGTACACAAAGGTTGGATTAAAATCTTTCTTAAATTTCTCTTTACGAAGTTCGGTACACGGGAGGTGTCAGAAAAACCTGGATTCGCAATACGAACTTCAACAATCCATACAACTGGGATTTGGCAAGAGTACCCTGCTCGAACGACCGTGTCATTATTCCGAGCCAGATAGAGTCTGCAATACAACTCAAAGATGGCAGCACAGTAGTGAAAGAATTAGTGCTGCCATCCAACGGCGAAATCATGTTACCACTTACCGGTTCTCTCCTCATCACTGGAGACTTCCGTGCCAAGGATAAATGTCGTGGAGAAGGTAATAATTTATTTAAGGAATAACCTTACAATAGAACTTAAATGCCACGGAGTTACTTCCCAGAAGATAATACTCTTCATGGCCACCGCTGTGTAAGCCTCAGATCTCAAATACGATGCTGTATATTTTTTTGTAATGTTTCCACCCGATCTAAATAGGGCAATAAATGTAGTTCTCAGGTTCTAACGGCGGTGATTATGAAGGATATTACTTTCTTCTGGGATAAATGTGTAGCTCAATTGAAGTTTACTGACGTTTCGGAAGAACGTACTGCCTCTATCTTCATATTCGAAATGTAAGGTAAACAAAGAACAATCAATACTGTGACATACTTTTCTTGACCAGGTGAGTGATCGTTAGATTCAGCGGAAGTTTTCTGTTCCATAATGTTAGTTATCCCACTTACGGCTAGAACAGTGACAAGGTTCGAGTTCGTTCTCGCTCAGAGTAACGAAATTTCCTGTTCTCTGCCGCGTCCAGACAAGCGGTACGGCCCACAGAGCATCTTACATAATATGTAGCGGGACCTCTTCCTCCGAGCTGCAGGAGAATTGGGCTGGTAACTCAGATTCACTTAGTCCCCCGGATCTATATGCGCGGAGATGGACCAGAACCCCCCCCCCAACATCTTAACAGAGTGGTGCTTAATTAACTCATTTAGACCCTGAAGGAACAATTGTGGAGCTCAGGGCACTGAGGAGAAGTGCGAAGATGGAAAAAGGAACCCTAGAATAGAGGGGGAAACGGGGAGGAGGAGGAAGTTGCGTATGACTGGAGGCTGTGCCATAGCTCAGGCGCCACGGCGGTGGTCCGTGTTCGAGCCCAGGTCAGATGGAGTGGGATTTGTGGTGGACAAAGCGACACTGGGATAGGTTTTATCCGGGTACTTCGGTTTCCCTTATCAATTCTCATTCCACCGACTGCCCCAAACACATCATCTATCACCAGGGGTTAGTACAATACCCGTAGGCAGTCGCCATACCAGTCGAAATGTTATTCATATTATTGGGATTTAATGTTTTAGAAACCAGCTTAAGCCGTATGCGCGATCTGGTTTAACAGTGAAGAGAAACACGTGTTTTGCCCATAGAATGCAGTCACGTGTTTGGTATAATTTTCAGAATAAACTGGAACCGTTTCCTTAAACATCATCAATCAGCTGGTCTTTGTAATGGAAACCCAGAGTGTTTTCTGTAGGGTACACACTGAATTCTTTAATATTACTTAAATTAAATTCAGTCTTAAAAAAACTAATCATAAGTTACTAACCGTACGTGTATATATATATATATTAAAAAGATTAAAAAGATGTATATATATATATATACATCTTTTTTTAATTCGATTAGTGGGGGGTGGAGTCCAACTGGGTCCACTCGGCACGGCGGCAACTGATTGGCCTATTGTAGCCTGCCCCGGGTGATTATGATGATGGAGATTTTGGTGGAATGAAGATTGGCAGGGGAAACCGAAGTACTCGGAGAAAACCCACCCCAGCACCACTTTGTGAACCACAAATCCCACTTTACCAGACCCGGGATCGAACCCGGGCCGCCGCGGTGGGAAGCCAGCGACTAACCGCTTGAGCTATGGCGCGGCCTAACCGTACGTATATAAGTGTAACCACTTTTACTTCCACGAGGCTAATTTTTTTTCATTTTTGTATACATAAGCATATATTCTGTTGTAATTAGAATATTAGACCTACTCTTTCTGAAACCTAAAATGGACTACCATGATGATGGATTCCTTTATTAATTGTTACTGACGAGTATAAGCCGGAATAAACTCAGTCGGTACAGCGACGGGCTTCGGGCTGGAGGTTCGGAGCATAAATCATTGCAGAGGCATGATTTTTCTCTTTTTCATAGTGTCCAGACTGGCTCTGGGACCCAGCCAACCTCCTATCCAATAGGTATTGGGGGCTCTTTCCCAAGAAGAAAAGCGGCCAAAGCGTGAAGCTGACTACTCACCTCCATCTAGTGCCGAGGTCAAAAATAGTGAAGATATACCGCCATACGTCTCTATGGCGTGGTGCTTAATTAAGCACAGGGACAACTTTGCATTATAACGTTCAGTAATTGGCTTGGTTATATGGGAAAGTACTGGGAAGATGTTAATGAGACCCAAGGTAAAAGGTAAAGTTGTCCCTTTGCTTAACTAATGAAGGCGTATGGGGGAGGGGATGTATAGGTCCACGTTTTCTTGACCTCGGCACTAGTTGGAGTGGTCAGTTTCACTCCCAGGCCGCTTTACCCCCGGAGGAAGAACCCCGGTGACCATTTGATAGGATGCTGGGTGGGCCCCAGAGCCGGTTTGGAAGACATGGAGAAGGGAAAATTCTTGAACCCTACCGGGACTCGAACTCCGACCACTCTGTCGTCCAGGTCTAGCCAGTCGCTGTACAGACTGCGCTATCCCGGCTCCTTATGAGACCCAAATAAGGTCGGAGAGAAGGAACCCGATCGGGGCCAATGGGAACAAAGAGGATTAAACTGCATTTTCAAGGGGCACATTAGTTTATACTTAGAAGTGGGAAATTGAACAGGGTAAACGGAAGCCCTTTTCCTCTCCTTTTCAGTGCGATCGTAATTATGTCTTACAGGAGGAACATACGTAAATACCCTCTCATTTCGCATCTGTAGCGACGAGTTAGTGTGTCCTTTAAAGGAGTTCTTTACTGCCCTTTCTTTTCCACTGACTCGGATCGAACTGTTTCTTCGCCCTCTCTCCTAGGGTCTCATCACCAATTCCTGAACCTACATATTTAAACCCTGAAGATGGAAGCAGCATGAACATCCGATACATCGCCACCCGCCTATAAGACTAAACGGTGGCACAAATAGAAGGACCACAGTCTTAAAAATCACCGCCATGAACACCTCAACTTATACAGAATGTCCCAGGAGGAAAGGTCAATATTCTGGGAGGTCAAAGCATCGGTCATTCTAAATAAAATAAAGTATATATGTACTTGTGTCCTATTCCGAACGGTTTCCGAGATTTCACTGTACAGTTAAAAAAATTGTTGATACGAAAGAGATATTACGTACTGTTTCTACTACCGGTATTTATTGTTCAAGTGACAAAGTTGGTGCAGATAGCCTAGTGTAAAAAAAATCCGTGGCTTTAGTCCGCCAGCGAACTATACCGACCGAGCGACCGCCGCTTGTCGGAGAAGTTAGTGCCAACTTTAGTGGATAGAGAGTGTCGCGTGATCAGCGCAACAGATCCCCACGGCCGTTAATCTCGGTTTTCTAGACCGGAGCCGCTATTTCCTTGAAAAAGCTCCTCAATTATCCTCACGAGGCTGAGTGGACCCCGTTCCAGACCCACCACTTCTCAGAAAATCTGGTAGCGCCGAGAATCGAACCCGGAACCTCTGGATCTGTAGCCAGGAACTCTGACCACTAGACCACAGAGGTGGTCATTTCCGAAAGTTCCACAGTCAGTACCAATGCACTTCGCAACTCGTGTGAGGACATTGTGTGTTGCTCGTCTATACTGTGCCCTGCGTTTTAATTAGAAGGCCTGCCTTATTATTGACGTTACGGGGCCGAGCGGCGCAGGTTCAGCTGACAAGTACCATGAAGGATCGTATCTAGAGCAGTCTGTTGGTGTTTGCAGATATCGTGTTCACAAGAAGTTGGTCGGCAGCTTGGCTGGACCCTGCTAACTGGAAGACGGAAGGACGGGTTACAACAGATCCTGTACCCCATCTGGAGCGCATCCCTTGCACCCACGATCACATCGTTTTTCCAGAGGGCAGCACCTTCCGAGTGCATCTACCGGAAGTGGTCGTTACTGTTGGCAGCATCTCTTTACTCGGACAGGTCGTAACCACACCACAATTCATCCTATGTAATCAGAGCATGATGGCCACAGGAAACTGGTACTGACAAGCATGGGTTCGATTCTGGGCAAATATACTGCATGCCCTCAATCTGAACTTCATCTGGATTCAATCCATTAAGCAAGGACATTCTTGGTTAATAATTAAACTGTTAGAAACAAAACTAAATTCATTCTATTCGTGCAAGACTTGATACGTTCATAAAATATAGCTGCATGACTTTGAAACTATAGCAAGGTTCAATAAGCACAGTCCCTCTTGAGACCCGTCTCTTTACAGAAGCCCTAAGATTACGACCATGAGTCCATCATTAGTACTGACCCATGATCTATACATGGCTCTACAGCCTTTTGTTGAACCTTGGTCACTTTTTCAGTTTCTTAATCTACACACAGTCAGTAGGACTCCTTGGACGGGGGATCAGTCCGTCGCAAGGCCGCTACCTACACACAAAACAGCACAAACACAGAATAAACAGACATTCATGCCCTGAGTGGGATTCCAACCCACGATCTCAGCATTCGAGCGAGAGAAGACAGTTCATGCCTTAGACAGCTCGGCCATTGACTCTTAGCTAGATGAACAAAATCCAGATCTGTTGGGTCCATCATAATATTATTCTGCCATTTACGCCTTTTATCTATGAACTGGTCTCTTCCCTTCGGGTTCTAACGACTAAAATTTGGTACGTGTCTGGCGTATTTCTCCTCTCACACAAACGAGCCTAGCCCACTTTATCTTTCTTGACTTGAGCAGTGTAAAAATGTTTGGCGAGAAGTGCAAATTATGAAGCTCCACATTATACGATTTTCTACATCCTTTTATTCACTTACGGCACCATTTTCAATCTATGTTCCTCTCAACAGACTAATTAAATGTAATCTAGTCCTTTTTGAAAATCTAATAATAATAATGACTAGCTCGTCATTACTCCCGTTTCAGACAAAAGCGAATGAAGCCGTATCGACTCTATTTCTTTATGATCAATTTTAATATTATATTCGACAGCCTTTGTGGTCTAGTGGTGAGAGTTCCTGGCTATAGATCCTGAGGTTCCCGGTTCGATTCCCGGCGCTACAAGATTTTCTGAGAAGTAGTGGGTCTGGAACGGGATTCACTGAGTCTCGTGAGGGTAACTGAGAAGCTATTTCAAGCAAATAGCGGCTCCGGTCTAGAAAATCGAAATTAACGGCCGTGGGGATCCATTGCGCTGACCAAGTGACATCCTCTATCCGCTAAAATTGGCACTAACTTTGCCAAGAAGCGACGGTCGCTCGGTCGGTATAGTTCGCTTGCGGGCTCAAGCCACAGAGTTTGTGTGTTTTTTAATATTATATTCGCATCTACATATGGGTCTTCAACTTTTCTCTTTCTTTCAAATTTTCCTACCGAAATGTACATGAATTTTCCGATGTGCTCTATATGCTCATTCAAACTGTTCCTCCTTTATTTATAATAATATCTTGAGGAGCAGAAATTATGAAGTTCTTCATTTTACAGTTTTCACTAGCCTCATGTTACTTCTCCCATCTTTGATCCAAATACTATCCACGCTCTCTGCTCTCAAGCATACTTCTGAGCAGCGCCCTGTTCTCAAGCACGTCCCACATATGTTTCTTTTAATCGAAATATGTTTCTCAACGCGCCCCCAGTACCTATATGTTGTGCCCCAAGGTGAGAGAACAAAGTTTAATTTTTCACAAAACAACGCGTAAAATCAAAATGCTTATAAATTTTTTTAGTTGATTTGCATTAACCGCGCCTCTTGGCCGTGTCACAGCTCAGACCGGTTTCTCACCGCGATCCCAATTCAATCCATCTGGGATTTGTGGTGGATAAAAAGCATTGGGGTATGTTTTGTTCTAGAACCTTAGTCTCCCCTGTCAATTCTAATTCCACTCGTCTGCCATCAACATCCGAGGCTAGTACAACAGGCCCAATAGTGGCAGGCGTACCAAATAGATTCAATCTCATTCCACCCCTCTGCTGGGGGCTAACTAGCAACTACTATGCTCCTGTGTGATAGAATGTTCATTGCAGGAGATGAGCCCAAGTCAGTGGCAGGAGGCCCTGCTGTCGGAACCTGGAGAACGTCAGTTCGTGTCTGGCGAAGGGGACTACATGCGGATAAGCTCTGTAGTGATCACAGGAGAGGAGTCGTGTCCTGACAAGGCGGGGTGCTCCTGCGCGGGCCACCCAGAGTTGCGAGCCGCTGTGTGCACACATACCAGGGACCGCAATGGAGACTGTTATGACTCCAGACAGGCAGAGTGTATCTCTCCTGTCCAGCCTCTTGGACACTGCTGTGACATCTGCGGTCAGTATCTGTCTGAGCTAAGTAGCCAACTAAAACATGGATAGTCCCCATCTTGCCTAATTGCCAGGATATTTCATAATTACCAGCCAGTAAACATACTAATAATATTACAGATAAATATCAAAGAAGTATAATTCTTCTTAATTTTATTTCTGCACATTATCTATCGTCCTGCATTTATTTAAAACACAACATTTCAGAGACTGGAGTCTATATTATTATTATTATTATTATTACAAACAAAAAACAAAATCCGTGGCCTGTAGTCCGCAAGCGAACTATACCGACCGAGCGACCGCCACTTGTCGACGAAGTTAGTGCCAACTTTAACGGATAGAGAGGGTGTCGCGTGGTCAGCGCAACGGATCCCCACGGCCGTTAATTTCGGCTTTCTAGACCGGAGCCGCTACTTTTCCATTCAAGTAGCTCCTCAATTATCCTCACGAGGCTGAGTGGAAACCGTTCCAGACCCACTACTTCAGAAAATCTGGTAGCGCCAGGAATCGAACCCGGGACCTATCGATCTGTAGCCAGGAACTCTGACCACTAGACCACAGAGGCGGTCTTATTATTACTGTTATTATTCTGCAATTGGGTGTTCACCCGGTGGCAGTAGCTCTTACACAGATACAGACAAGGAAAGTCTATAACATAAAGGGAACAATACAAGACAAAGTACACACAATAAACAAGGTACATACTGTACAAATTCAAACATATAAACTCACACAAGGGCACTTTTCTGTTTCCGTCTTCAGGTGGAACCTACTCAGTTGGACCCGATCGATATAACTAGTTCCTATTTCGGGAGATAGGTTTTATCTGAAGATGGAGACAGAGTCCAGTTTCCGAAACTGCGTGTTTTAAATAAAGACAGGACGATGGATAGTGTCAAGAAACACAATAGTTGTATTAGTGTACCATTGTCACGAAATTTTACTTCTTTGTTAGAATTCTTCTTGTTCTCTGAGGGGTTATTACTCTCTGAGGGTTTCTCTCGGCAACTACTCTTCTCCTGGGGCAGGCCTAGCTTACTCGCTGGAGGAGATTTACTGTCTAAATACAGCAGCAAACATTTTTATATACTTACGTATTAAAATAACTTTCACAATTTTAAAACTTAGACTGTGACTCGTATGTAAGTTTAAATTCAATATACAGGTGTTTTCAATTAAGAATGGACACATGATTTTAATTATGAAATAAAGTTAAATTATTTTTAAGAAAATTTGTATATTCACCCCAAAAAAAGGAAAAATAAAAGGTAAAGCTATCAATCATGTTCAACTAAAAAGGGAAACAGAACCAATGTCCGGAATTCAGTGACTTCAGTAGATTTGGATGATGGACAAAGTCCAAAGTAATAACTACAAACAACATGGCTGTATCGTCAAAATCTTTAAGTTCCGTTCACTTATACGAAGCCGAACTTAATGTGCTACAGGTGCTTACCTGCTGCTGGAGTACTCCGAGTCGAAGTTGGCACTGAACCATCTCCGATCTCTCCTAGACTCGTACTTGAGGCAGGAGAAGTACTCCAAAGTAGTGGGTCACATTGGCAAACCTGCAATGGTGGACGATGCTCTTAGAAATCGGTTACAGGTCGTTCTCAAAGACGTGGGAGGGTACAGAGGCGACTGCAACAACCTGGCCAACGTCTTCGCTTCAAGAGTCAGAAACAGTAAGCTGAATACAATCAGAGAGATCCCTCCATGTCTGCCAACATTACGCTGTAAAATTTATCCGGAATAAGGTAGAAAAGTACATTAGTCCCTCTGCGTAACAATGCACGTAGGCGTGACAGCAGATCTGCAGCCGTAAGAATCCGCAAGGGGAAGTTACAAATCTTATTTTCGTAATGATTTTTGTGTCAAATTTTAGACGTATTTTTAAGGAAACCACAAAATGTGCAGTTGTGGAAATTGGCACATATGAAAATGAGGGTTCTCTCTGCCTGTTCATGTTTTACAGGGATTTATTTCTAAATATATTTAACGTTAAAAATTATTTTACATTTCAGAACAGAATATTTAATAACTTTTATATTATTTGTGTTGTATTTGTAAAAATAAGTCACCATCTTAACACCAAAACATTTGAAAAAAAATCACTACTCTATAAGGTTTCTGGCAAAGAAGTGTATATATTTAAGAAATTCATATTGCCGCTTTACTCCGGGGAAAGAGACCCTCAGTACCCACTAAGCAGGAGGCTGTGTGAGTCCCAATGCCGGTCTGGATGCTAAGAAGAAGAGAAAAATTCCAGCCCCTGTCGGGAATCTAAACACGATTCCGTCAGTTGTACAACCTGTACCCTAAACTAAACTAAAAAACTAAACTCCGTGGCCTGTAATCGGCAAGCGAACTATACCGACAAAGCCACCGCCGCTTGGCGGCGAAATTAATGCCAATTTTAGCGGATAGAGGGTGTCACGTGGTCAGCGCAGCGAATCCCCACGGCCGTTAATTTAGGTTTTCTAGACCGGAACGGCTATTTCCTTGAAATAGCTCCTCAATTATCCTCACAAGGCTGAGTGGACTCCGTTCCAGACCCACTACTTCTCAGAAAATCTGGTAGCGCCGGGAATCGAACCCGGGAACTCTGGACCTGTAGCCAGGAACTCTGACCACTAGACCACAGAGGCGGTCTTGTATCCTAGTCACTTTATCGACTGAGCTATTGCGGCTCCTTCAAATAAGACTTGCTCACTGAATGGACAAACGAGGTTCCATTGTCGGCAGGAACGACCACGCCCGCACTGAGTCCTCAGGACATTCGGTCAGCTGTTCAATGTGTGGCGGGAGATTCTCTCCCCGGGGGTCAAGCAGCCGGAGCATGAAGCCAAATAGTCACTTCCATCGGTCTCGAAGTTAGGTATGAGTCGCATTTTGCGGCGACAGCTCTCACCCCTTCGGTGTATTAGCCTTTAATAAAATAAACCCTCTTCTGTTACGATATTTACATGGTAGCGTTTAATTTATATTGTCGTAAAGCCACTAGTAGTTTTAACTGTTGTAGCATGTAAAGCCGTTGTTATACAACGATCGCGAAACGGAAGGGTATACCAGGGCCGATTCTGGGCAACGGCTCGGTAAACACGTTCCCGTTACTAAACGGCGACTTTGTAAACAGCGATAGTTGTTACGCAACGGCGCGGTAAACACGCACACAATAATAAAACTGTGTTTTCTATGTGTTTCTAAACTCCGAACATTTTGAATGGTATTTCTAAATGATATATTTCGTCCACAGTTTAAAGGGAGCAGTTACTTCTAAATCTCACAAGATTCATTTTGACAGATGGTGGAAATTTTCACTTACGTACAGAAAATTAATGTACGTGTAGTTCCCTTCATTCAGGTTATGGTTTTAATAACACACAATCGTAACAGAGTGCTGCTAATCCTATTGGTCTATATTCCCAGATGTCTAGCTCTCGAATTCACAACTTGCTTTTACGTACAGGTGAGTACTTTGGGGTGACGAGGGTCACTGTGTACACAGCTGGAGAGGCCAAGTACTTATCCACCTGGGGGAGCGTTCTGGGTACAATTTTTGGGACATTTATCGCTGCAATCATTGCCATGGGAATCATCTACTTCGCCTTCATAGCCCACCGTCAAAACTGGTAAGACGCCAACAACAATATTTACACATATCTAAATAGTAACTGTACCTTCCGTAACATACGCAGTTCTACCATTTCAAAATCCGTTAATTAAATATAAAAAAAATATTGTTTATGACCTCCTCTGTGCTCTAGTGGTCAGAGTTCCTGGCTACAGATCCAGAGGTCCGGGTTCGATTCCCAGCGCTACCTCATTTTCTGAGCAGTAGTGGGTCTGGAACGGGGTCCACTCAGCCTCGTGAGGATAACTGAGGAGTTATTTCATGGAAATAGCGGCTCCGGTATAGAAAACCGAGATTAACGGCCGTGGGGATCCGTTGCGCTAACCACGTAACACCCTCTATCTCCTAAAGTTGGCACTAACTTCGCCGACATGCGGCGGTCGCTCGGTCGGTATAGTTCGCTTGCGGACTACAGGCCACGGGGTTTGTTTTTATTTATTCATATATATGATGGGTTCGTTTATATGATTCTACAGAGTTGTCAACTTGCTGCAGTGTCTAGCCTTATCGTGGCATTACTTTGGCCATATACGCTAAGTTTGATTGGTTGTCAAGCCGCTTTGTTGCTGCATCAGCATAAAGTAGTCCATACCCTTACTTATTTCAATCGTTTGAAACCAAACGGAAAATCTGATCGTGTATCCGGGAAGAATTTTGACTATTTTCAGGTAGCAATTTAACCTTCCATTGATGTGGACATCATTGCTGAGTTGCGAAGTAAAAAATAAAGTAAATCTGTCCCTGTAACACGTTATGGAGGCCCATGCGGTTGTGAGACGTCGAGGTTCCCACATTTTATAGGCAATCGGCTCACAGATGGCGGTGAGGTTGTCACTTTTACGTTCCAGCCGCCCTTTATCCCCAGGAAGATTCCTGGTACTCATTTCTGTTAGAGGTTGAGTCGATCCCAGGGCCATAGTGCGGCTGGAAGGGTTAGATCAATTGAAAAATCCAATTACATCATCGGGAACCGAACCCGTGACCTTCCGACTTGTTTCATAGTGCTTCAACCAACTACGCTACCTCGTGGCCCCCACACTTGTATATATTCTTTTTCCTTATTTGCTTCGCGTGTATCAGCTGATATCAGCTCTCGTAATACAGCCGCCAAGTGGCGCCTCTATCAGCTTTCCCGCGAACTCGTTGCGACTGTCGAGGAACGGAAACACACCTTAGCGTTTCATATACATACATTTCTAAAAAGAACGGAAGAAGCCGAGTAATGAGACAGATAGGAAAACTTAATCCTGTTGTCTTATCACGATAGGTGGGTGCTTCAAGCAGAACCCTTCTTATTTGCTCGATTTGAGAACGCACCGAGCGAGAGCGAAGAGGCACTGGAGAGCCGAGTAGAGGTGTTACCTGGAGGATCCCAGCAGCCAGATAAGTCCTGTTCCAGCCAGCCGCCACCTGCTGCCTTCGACAACCCCATGTACGGAAATACGAAGGTGAGGAAACCTAACATAACCTAAGAAAATCACTATCTTTTGGGATGTAACGCTTGTGTAGCCTTGTTAGACTTACGCCCCGGCCACCCTTTACTCCAATGAAGATCCCTGGAACTCATTTTTGTCGGAGGCTAAGTCAACCCCAGGATACATAGTGCGGCTGCAAGGATAAGGTCAATTGAAAAATTCAATGACCGCATCGGAATCGAACCTGCGGCTTTCCGGCTTGTAGCGTACCGCGTACCCCAAATTGTGAACATGCAGGGTAAAATCTCACCGATTCCGACTGACAGAAGAAATAGGTAGCCTACATTAATAATAAAAAAAGAATATACGAACATAATTTATGTAAATACATTCAAACCGGAGTACTTTTTAAAAACTGAAAATGTCATTAGTTTCTTCACAAATTAGGCACCGTTTGTGCAGTGCGGCACTTATGTAAGCCGACAGGAAGTGGGGAAATTGCAGGCTACCATTACATTCTCGTTTACGACAAATCTACTTTCTGCCGAGGCTAAATAAAATACTTAAATAAAAAGAAGTCGGTCCGAATTATAGCGGTTTCTAATTAGTGGCGTTTTACTGTTTTCTTAATGGAGAATTTACTAGACCTTTTAGTCACTGACCGTTACTAAATACCGTCCTAAAAACATAATCGATTACTAATATTTTCCGATATATTAGAGCAGTGTGTAGCATATTTAGGACTATTACTAGTAATCACGTTTATGGAATTCCTCCTTCTGGATCAACACTGATAATTTAGTGACTGAGAGTAAACGTAAAAAGTGAAACTATCCCTGTAACAGGCCGTGGAGGCCTATAGCATTGTGAGATATCGAGGCTCCCGCATTTTCTAGACAATAGGCTAACGGATGGCGGTAAGTTTGTCAGCCTTACGTGCCGGCCGCCCTTTACCCCAAAGAATATTCCTGGTACTCATTTCTGTTAGAGGCTGAGTCGACCCCAGGGCCATAGAGCGGCTGGAAGGATTAGGTAAATCGAAAAATATCCACCTTCTCGGGATTCGATCCCGCGACATTCCGGCTTGTAGCACAGTGCCTCAAACAACTATGCTACCGCGTGTCCCTAGCGACTGAGAGTAGGCTTAGTTAATTTTAAATTTATCTGAAGTTTAAGATTTGAATAACATGACGGTATGACAGTTGCGAATAACTATAGAGTTAGGTCGACTTTAAAACAGTCGATCGACCGAAATGGAATGAGGAATTGATAAGTAAAACAATAAATCGGAGTTCGAGATGAGAAATAAGAGGGAAAACAAGACACGACTTCTTATAAATGATTCCTTCGTGCAGTGAGTCGAAACAACTCACGACAGGCGCAGGGTATTGAAACAAAGACTGCTCTAGTCAACTCTTGCAGGTAGAGGAGCGGAAAGTGCTTCCCCGGGCAGAACCTGGCGAACACGTGACACACGAGAACCCCGTGTACAGCGAGTTGCTGCTTCAGGAGGAAGAGCAGATACAAGAAATGTACGAAGTGAAGGATGAGACGCCACCCGCAGAGCAATCCGACCTACATGCTTCATACATGGCTGCTGAAGAGAGAGCCGGACATACGTACTGACTTCAGCTGTTTGCCTCACTGCAACTAGAACAGTGGTTCAGGGGGCACGTTATGTGTATTTCAGTCATTGTGAGCAGAAAGTTCGAAAGTACCTAAGAAACGTCTTCACGACTTTATTTTGTAATTTTTCTGTGCATGGAATAAATAAAGGTTTGTTTAAAATAATAAAAAATCTATGTACTTTTCGTGTTTATAATTCACGATGCTTTTTAAAATCAGTGTAGGCATACAGTTGCGTTCTGAGACAAAGGGATATGCAAAGCTTTGTTCTCAAGCCAAGGAGCACGTACTGTTTCGCTAAGACCACGAGGTACATGCAGTTTGGATCTGAGACCAAGGATTATATTCAGTTTCGATCTGAGACCACGGGATATATGGAATTTCGTTCTGAGACCACGGTATACGTGCAGTTTCGCTCTGAAACCACGGGCTACGTGCAATTCCTGCTGAGACCATGGAATACGTGCAGTTTTTCTTTGAAACCACGTGATACGTGCAGTACTCTCTAAGACCACGGGCTACATACAGTTTCTCTCCGAGACCGCGGGCTACGTGCAGTTTCTCTCTGATACCACGGGCTACGTGCAGTGTTTCTCTGATACTACGAGCTACGTGCAGTGTATCTCTGATACCATGGGCTACGTGCAGTTCTTTCTGAGACCACGGGACACGTATAGTTTCGTTCTGAGAGCAAAGGATACATTCAGTTTCGAGACCAAGGAGTACGTCCATTGTAAAAGGATACGATGAAGTAAACTATTTTAAAGCTTTTTATTACTCTGTAATATTTATTGAGAGTAAACTGGAAAGATGTGTTGACTTTCTGTCTGGAAGGACTAAAATGTAGCATTCTGAATATATCTTCTGCATAATCCAGAATAATATGGGCAGCCGTAATTCTACATATCTCTCTAGTAAATTTTATATAAAATATTTTGAAAACTTTTAAACTATGCCATTTATAAAAACATTTATATATACGAGGTTTTCGGTAAATATTTAAGATATATTAATTTTTATAAGAAATACTTGTTACTCAGTTATTAATAACAGCTCTGAACAAACAATCTGTGTGCAGTTCTTCATATAAGGTAGTCAGCAAATTTTTTCGGTTCCAAATTAAACCTGAAATGGCTCTACAGTCTTTTGTAAAATACTCCAATATCAAATTTCATGAAAATCAGTTCGGCAGTTCTCGAGTTTTTCATGCGTACACATGGTATTCACATATTCCCTCTTTTTTTCCTGAAACGCCTGCTGGTTTCACGTCTTATATTGTTCAGATTATCCCCATTTATCTCGCTTGGATCCTGTAACCACTGAAATTTGGCCTGCTTTCTTTGATCTAATAATTTTGAGCACCCTTCATCGAACTATGGCTTATGCTTCTTCGGTTCATAATAACATAGACTCTCTTTGGCAGACATTTTTATATTCTCTCTAATAGTTTCCCAAGCTTTAATAACATCCACCTCAGTTTCCAAGTTTTCCAAAGCGGCAACCTATTTGAGATTTCAACACGATACTGCTCTTTACCCTCTACCTCATTTAATTTCTTGAGCTTGAACCTCTTCATATGAACTCTGTGTGGTGTTTGTTTGCTCACTGCCAGTCTTTCCCTAACTTTTGCCACCACCAGCTAGTGGTCAGTACCACACAATCTGCTGCCCTGAATGATCGGACATCAAGTATACTTGAGTGCCGTCTCCTATCTATCAAAATATTATCTATTTGATTGTGTATCTTCCCATCAGCAGATGTCGAAGTAAATTTATGGATGTTACGATGTGGAACATTGTACTTTTGACAGTAAGATGTTTTGATGTGGCAAAGTTTACTACTCTAACTCCATTATCATTACTAATTTCGTGTAAACTCTCATTCCCAACTGTTGGTTTGAAAATGTCTTCCCTCCCTACTTTGGCATTGAAATCTCCTAACAAATTTTCCATAGGGTACTTCGGGAATTTATCAAATACATGTTCCAGTTCTTCATAGAATCTGTCCTTTATGTCATCAATTTTATCTTCTGTTGGGGCATGAACATTCATAACAATGATATCACAACAGTGACCTTTTATTATTATATATGATATCCTATCACTAACGAACTCTACCCTCTTAACTGCTGATACGATTCTCTTATGTATGAAAAACCTATACCTAATTCATGATTTTCACTCCCCTTTCCATAGAAAAATGTATATTCGCCTGCTGCTGCGATGCCACCTCCATCCCATCTGACTTCCTCTACTCCGGCTAAATCTAACTTATATTTTAAGATTTCTTCTGCCACTGCTCTGAGCAAACCTGCCCTGTACAAACTTCGTACATTCCAAGTGCCAAATCCCATATCCCTTTTCATTAGCTTAGGTCGTTTATCCAAGGAATCACTCCAGGTCCGAGGCTTTGTGTTCATTTTCGTAACATACTGATTTTTTACGCTGAGGAGTTGTAAGCCCCACGCCCAACCTCCCAGCTGGAGGACCACCCCTTGTCGGCTGTCCGCGACTGCTTATTCAATATATTCACAGATTCCCTCCAAAAACTGGAGGGCGTCTCCTCCATCCGCAACCTGAGGACGCGCCATGCTGTGGTGACAAGGGACCCACCTAACATGGACATAATGTACTATATAAGAAAATAATATAACACTTTAATATGTTTTATTAATGAATTGAATTGACGGTTAAAAGTCGATCACAGTGGCCGCGCGGTCTAAGGTATGAACTACATTCGCTCGCTCGAAAACTGGGATCGTGGGTTCGAATCCCATTCAAGGCATGGATGTTTGTGTGTGCGTTTATTTTGTGTTTGCGTTGTCCTGTATTTAGTCCGCAAGCGAACTATACCGACCGAGCGACCGCCATTTGTCGGCGAAGTTAGTGCCAACATTAGCAGATAAAGGGTGTCATGTGGTCATTCTTGACTCTACCGGGACTCAAACTCCGACCCCTCGCTCGTCTAGCCTGTAGCCAGTCGCTATACTGAAAGATGAACTGCAAGAGAGAAGAAGCTCGTGGTATTAGCCGAGAATGACTGAGGTAAATCACTAAATATTTCAGTTATGGGAGCCAAAATCTTAGCAGAGATTCAAACCTGGTACGTTCCAAATACAAATCAGCGGTATCACTGATAAGGTAACCCACTTAGTAACAATCTTGATCTTCCTTTTATTTTTATCAGTCTTCCTTGACTTTCTCTGTTTCTTCTTATCGGGACCTCTTCATGGCATGTAGTGACGCACTTCTAATTGATGGGGATACAACACTTCATGACATGTGCGCTTACAGCCATGTTGTCAATTTATAAATAAACCGCTCCTGTCCCTTGACAGCTACATATCATCACTGCCAGACATGCAGGCCGTCAGTCCATGAATTGAATACTAAGTCTTCAACTGTTTCTACCAATGGCTTTCAAATTTCTCTTCTTCCGCGTGCGGTGCATATGGAACAACCGTGCTCTTCTTTCAGACTCAACATATGGTCAATAAATTTCCTGTCTCTCTTTTCAGGAATGTTATTTGACGATGCTGTCAGTGTGGAGACCATATAGTGTCGATGACAAAATGATAAATGAGTGTGGAGCCGTCGTCGAATGAGAGCTCGGAGGGAAAAACCTGCCCATTGCCGCTATAAAAAAACTCTGTGGCCTGTAGTCCGCAAGCGAACTATACCCACCGAGCGACCGCCGCTTGTTAGTGCCAACTTTAGCGGATAGAGGGTGTCGCGTGGTCAGCGCAACGAATCCCCACAGCAGTTAATTTTGGTTTTCTAGACTGGAGCCGCTATTTCCTTGAAATAACTCCTCGATTATCCTCACGAGGCTGAGTGGACCACGTTTCAGAACCACTACTTCTCAGAAAATCTGGTAGAGCCGGGAATTTAACCCTGCACCTCGCGATCTGTAGCCAGGAACTCTGACCACTAGACCACAGAGGCGGTCCACGTATACACAAATGATATGAAATGCCTTACAAATCATACTTTATTCCGAAAACCAGCTTACAGATACAAATTTGACCTGAGATGAAATCTGTTTGTGATTAACTGTCACCATAATTTTGCGTGGCATGTGTTACATCCTGCACCATAACAAATCAAAACATGCTTCAAGATGAAATTAAAAGGAAATTGAACTCGTGTAATGCTTGCTACAATTAAGTCCAGAACCTTTTGTCTTCTCGTATTCTGTCCAAAAATATAAAAATTAAAACATACAGAACTATAATTTTCCTATGGTTCTGTATGGGTTCAAATGTATATGTCCTCTCCTTCCTCACATGTGATGATGGAAGCGGTTCCAGTTGCCGAAACACTTACTTACTCATGGAGCTGAGCCCTCCTTGAGGAGCCTCCAATTCTGCAGCTACTCAAGAATTTCCCAGCATTTTATGGAACCTGAATGTTCATCACCGTGTTCACAAGAGCCGAAACACTGCGCATTTTAATTACATCCCATACAAGTGACAATGTCCAATGTATAATTAACAGACCACTGTCACAAATCTTTATAGAAGGTCACTTAGTGACAGACGTTTTTAGCTTGGCCCGTAGAACTGTACTGAAGGTAAAGCAGCAACAGGTGTGCATCTAGAAGCGATCCGTTCGAAAATTAGAAATTCTGACGGCGTCCGACGTTTCCCAGCGTCCAGTCAATCCTTGTCGCATCGGTGTTCGAAAGGAAGAAAAAGAAATCCAACAGTCAGGTACAAAACAAAAATAAGAAACACAGCCTCCTTGTCAAACGTGGAAATTTCTCTGCCTATTAGAAACAGACGTAATTCCTTCTTTCCTAGTCACTCAGACAGGGTTGATATGCGCGATGTAGCCCCTGGACTGTCATCGAAGCAAAGGATGGACAAATCATATATACTCGTATAGTCACTGTTAGGGTCGATGCGTGACTATAAGACGGGCTCTGGATTAGATGATTGGATTTATTGACAACTTATATAAACAGCTCGGGACTACAGGCAACACAGCGCTATCGCTGATCTACACACTTTGCAGTTCACAGTTGCGCAAGCACTAGAGTTCTCAGTCTTCACTAGTCGTATCCTGGTAACCGATTTATAACAGTCTTACTGTCATTTCAAATCACACATGAAGTCTCCCTTTTTCCCTTCTTGCCATTATTCTGCAGCTACTAATTCCGAAGACTCGACTCAATTCAATTCCTCTGCTCCAAAGCTCTTATCATGGCAGGCTGGCGTCTCGAAACTCGACTCCTCACAGAACTCTTCTTTATAACCATTCTGCATGGACCACCCAGAAAA